AGTTAACTGAAGAACGAATGTCGAGAGACGCCTTATCCATAGAGCAACAAAGATATAACGATTGCGTTGCATGACTGTGGAATTAAAAAATTGAAAATATGAGATATTGATATTGATCGGCTATTGGTAAACTAAATGACACGTCTGTTCAATGCTCGCTCGCTCAAAGCAGTTGTTTCATAACAGCGCGCGTGCTTGCCTTGTATACCTACTGAGCCGCTGTGAAGAAAACCTTTATTCACGCACGCCTGTGCGTAAATAAGATGACGTGAGCCTTTTTTTTTCCTGGCTGTAGAGTTGCCGTCCTGTTAAGCGGCAGTGCAGCTTTCTTTCTCTTTAAAATATGGAAGAAACCAGCGAAGAAGTGCCCAATTTTACAATCGGCATTGACCTTATAGGTCCTGATCCAAAAAGCAGCAAAAACGAAGCCGATAAAAACTCGCAAGTTGCGCGTTTCGCAAATTTGTCGGAAGACCAGCTGCAGCAAGTTTTGGCGGAAAGATATTCGCTGGGAACGAAAAAAGTTACCAATTTAGTTATCAGTTATCCAGTTATCGGTTAACTGGATCAAAATTTCTCGCTCAGACCAAAGTATAAATTTTGGCGTGTTTTCGATTCACTTTTTTGTGCGTTGTGAGAATTTTATACTCTATCACAATAAGGAAAGCTTCTTCGCGCAGATCCTTATAGTTGCCCTCAAAAGGGTAGATTAGCTCTCGGCTGCGCCTCGAGCTACTCTTACGCATTGTTCGTGCTCTCCAAACTTTCCCCGTACATCCATAACTCGATATACGCGCTAAGTATGAACATATTCTTAATTTAGACATGTAGAAAATAAATAAGCTCGGGAAGCGTATTCTTACTGAGCGTATTCTTACTTGAAGAACGGATATGGAAAGACAAGCTTTATTCAAGGAGCGAAAAAGATAAAAGATAAAGATTGCCTAGGATGACTGTTGAATAAAACGTTTGAAAATACTAGATATTGATCGGCTATTGGTAAACCTAGTTCAGTGGTTCGAATCCCGTACAGGCCTGATTTTTTTCAGGTCTGATTTTCGCTATTGCTTAAATAGCGCTATCTACTGCGAGGATCGTGCATCATACGTATCTAATACCGCAGTTCAAAATATATGAACTTCATATATTTCATTGTATCTGATTTATCACTTTCACGGGTTTATTACGAATCAACTTAACGGCCTGCTCCCAGTTGGCTTGTTAGCTCAATTGGTAGAGCGCTGCACTAGTATCGCAGAGGTCAGTGGTTCGAATCCCGTACAGGCCTGATTTTTTTCAGGTCTGATTTTCGCTATTGCTTAAATAGCGCTATCTACTGCGAGGATCGTGCATCATACGTATCTAACACCGCAGTTCAAAATATATGAACTTCATATATTTCATTGTATCTGAAGACAATATTCCTGGTTCAAAACGATGAAATGTGTATTTTATTCGACTCCATAAGGTCTCGTTACCAAATGTTTGGTTTTAGATACTACTGATTGGGAATATTAACAGCTATCAATATGGGACAACAAACTAAAGAAAAAAAATTTAATCGATGTTTCTCCTTGATTAACAATTTTCTTAAGTTTTGGTGCATTTCTCTTACAAAAGAGCGTGGATGCAAAAAACGGCGGGGTTCTAACAAAAGTGACAGCGCATGCCCCTTACCGCTGACCCTCGTGGCTTTCCTTCGTATCGACTATCTGAAAGCGTGGAACCTGGGCTCAACGCGACTTGAAAATTTAGTCTAATTCTTTTCAATCCTTGTGAAACTCCTCCATGTACTATAATTTTAAATTTACTTTTACCTTCGTCGCTACTTGTCGTTCAAAGCTGACTACAATTTTCTAATTCTATTCAAGTCAAATTTCTGTGATGCTATAGTTCTTCAGAGGTTGTATGTGCCGTAATCCCTTCAAGGCTTTGCTATTTGAACAACTATTTTTCCAATGTTCTTATTGGACTCCATCTTCTCGTGAGCCTGCTGTATTTGGTCCATGGGAAGGACTGAGTCCACGATGGTCTTAAGTTTTCCAGTGGCAAATAATGGAACGCTGTTTTCTGTAAACGCTCGCACCAATTTTGCTTTATACTGAGAAATAGGAAGAAGATAAATATTACTGTTTTCTTATTAGCTCTTGCAAACTCGGAATATAACTTGGTAACGAAAACAAAAACAACAATAACAACAACAACATCAACAGAAACAAAACTAAACAAAACAAAAACGCGAGGGCGTTTCGTCATGGATCTGTGCGTTACAGCGAGATCGTTTGGTGCCAGGAAACGAAGTTGAATGTACTGAAGAAAAAAAAAATGTAGCACACAAAGGTTGGGGCTTAATTTGTTCGTATAACCCGATCCTTTGCAAAATTGAGCCACGTTCTGTATTCATATTCCTGTTACAAAGCGTTATCCTAAGATGTGGGTATGGTTCCAACGATCGAGTAGGGATATCTTCGGACTGGAGACTGTACGGGGCGGGAGGAGAACATGGCGGAGGGAAATTACCCCCTTCTCAGGCAAGTAGCCTATCTGAAAACACAGATTAAGAGGCACAAAAAGGAGGTATAATTGTAACAGAAAAATACGTTTATCTCGCAAAGTTTGTAATGTATCAAATGTGACTTTGACATACTTCGTTTTGCTAAAAAATGAGAGAATTCCAAACTGAGGGCATTTTGAGGATATGAGTTTACTTTAAATGAAGCCGAAAAGATACATGATCATCAATCTAACACGGCAAGGGTACATTTGTCATGAAGAATTTACCTCAAGAGATCTGTGCTTTAGAGTTGTGGCTATCAGAGAACCTCTCTTTCCCAACAGACCTCCAAGAAGGTTCCCCTCTACATTTCCTCCACCCAGCGTACCATACAATACCCAACGACCATCAACAGCTAGGACTTTGATATTCTTTTCCCAGAAAGAGCTGCCAACGCAGTCTAGAATCACATTCGCCCCTTTTCCTGAAATTGTAATGACCATATTGAATTATTTCTGTCAAGTGTATTGGTTAAAAAGTACGGGCGCTTCTCCTTCGTAGCCAGCTCTTGGAGTTTTACTGGCTATTTGGTACAACTGTGTTTAAAACATGAACGAAAAGACATTCTGAATTGCTATTCTCCACGTGAAGAATAGGAAAGTTGATTTCAAAGAATAAAAAAATTTCACTTTCACTACGCACATTGTTTTTGTTACTGTCATAAATGCAAGTACCGCGGAGTGGCCTAAATTGAATATTGTTCGCTCCTATAAATAAACTAAAATTAATAGGGAAACTTTTGCATCACATTTCTTCGAAGTAGTACGAAAATTCTAGGGTGTAGAAACACTCTGCAGCTGTGGTGCAGAAGTGGATCTTTCTATATCTAACCTGTTGTGATTTTTTCGACCTCAGTGCGGCTTTAAAGTGGATTTTGTAAGAAAAAAAAATGACATCTTATGGCAGAAAATTAGAATGTAGAAACTCTGCAGCTCTGGTGCAGAAGATGATCATTCTAACCTATTGTGATTTTTTTCGATCTGCGGCTTTAAAATGGATTTTTGTAAAAAAAAAAAAATAATAATAATAATAATAATAATAATAATAATAATAAATGACAGCTTTCGCTCTTGTGCTAATACGTCTTGGACGAGATTTCCAAGAGTGTTATTAAATTATTTCCATTTATACATGTATGACGATATATTACCTTCAGTCACACTTTCTATCCAGCCGGAAAAATCTCCTGTCTTATAATTGAAACCTCCCTTGGCTCCAAGTGACTCCGCCATTTTGATCTTTTCCTCTGAGCCTGCAGTCACATATGGCTGTGCTCCAGCCACAAGTGACAGCTGCACCAGTGCTGTACCAACGCCACTGCCTCCAGCATGAATAAGAACCACATCACCACTCTCAACTCTCCCGAGAAAGTGCAGGAGTTGATATGCTGTTAGCCATGCTTCAGGAATGGCTGCAGCATCAGAAAGTTTAAGAGAGTCAGGTGCAGGCATGACGAGGACCTCTTCGACAGCAACGTATTCTGCGTAACCTCCTCCTGGTAAATAATATACAAAAACAAATAACGCTCTAAATGGCTTAGGCTGGGCCTGAGGTAAATAGAAGTCATCATTTAGCAAGGAGATGAACAAGGCCTTATTATTGTCACAAGTTACTACGTAAACCATGTGCTAAGACTGACGATTAGAACATTTCTTGTGATACTGAGATCAACAAGTGAGTATCTGAATCAAAGATGTTGTAATCTTAATGATGAAGAAAAGGCTATAAGCAGAGTTGCATGCATCTAAACACGTTATTTACCTGGTAACAAAGCCATAACCTTGTCTCCTTTCCTGTGAAAAAAAAGGAAAAATTAATAAATAAAGGAATACAAGTGTTACTGATACGCCATGGGGAAGTGAGCAAAAGTTGCCGAATTTTGTGTGAATCCATATTTCGCAGTCATTTGCTTATTTATTTGAAAGTAACCTGACGGTTATCAAATACTAAACTGCATCTCGGCACAGAGACTCACTTCCATTTCCCAGCACATTCGCCTCCGACTTCCTCGATCACACCAGATACTTCAAGTCCCAAAATGTCGGGCTGCCCACGAGGCAGAGGAGGGGATGGGTAGAGTCCTCGTCGCTGCAGAGTGTCCGCTCGATTCAGCGCCGTGTATTCCACGCGGATTAGCACTTGAGTTTTGTCTGCCGTCGGCTTCGGGGCTGTGCCCAGGTAAAGGTTCTCCGCACCACCAGTTTTATAAAGAACAGCTTTCATGGTTATGTTCGCATATATACGGATGCGATGTCTAAAGAAAAGAAAAACAAAATTTCTCAGCCAGTTCTAAATCCTTCTGGCTGTGAAGTAGAGGACTAACATTTTTGAATGCTTTTCTAAAAAACCAAAAAAAAAAAAACAAAAACAAAAAAAAGCTGCGTTGGAAAATTCAGCCTGTATCGAACTGAATTCCCTTCAGGAAATCGTTTTAATCTTTCTGGGTTGTGACATTCCATACTCTTGTTTGCTCAAAATATTTCGGTCAATCGCGTGACCTAGGCTGATCTTAATAATTTTCATGACTGGGTCAGAATTGAATTAGATACGGAACTGTGAAGATGCAGATTCAACTATCCTGCTGGGTTGTGCAACTGCAACTTGTTTGCTATCTCTAAAGGTTAAGGGCAAGATACTTTTCTTGGTGACACGAGAGAAGTACCCGTCTCCACAGTAGTTTTCAAGAAACTTCAGTCAAGCTTGCTTTCATCATGACTAATCATATGATACGAAATTAATCAAAGCATGCCTTAAAGGTAAATAACTTGGCCACAGCTATTAACAGCGTGGGATCATGTTTTAAAATTGAATGAGGCATGACAAAGTATTAGCTATTGTTATTTAAAAATACATCCAAGATGGACGCGATTCTCTGTAACCCCTACCTCGGTACAGAAAAGTTAAAAAAAATCTTGTTCTTCTCCTACGATTTACTTTTGAACTGCATGTATTTTAAATATCAAACGACGGAAAAAACAAAATAGATCTGATCAAGTTGTGACGCTTTGTTATCGGTGTTAGCAAGGTTAAAATTTTGCCCAGATTTTTGGGCTGAAACCTCAGTCATCGAAATTTGAAAGGCGATCAGATTGCATAAAAGTACGGTGCCTCTTGAGAATCTAGCTATAAAGCAGAGGGCTGAAAATTACTCTAAATATCTGGAGATATCGAGGCGAATGTTCCATGCAATGAGGTTCTTCGACCGCTTACCTTACTAAATCTACTGTGCCAAGCTCTACCCAAGCCGTTTACACCGTAAAAACAACACTCAAATGCTAAAACATGTATGATGGTACGAGCTGTGTGATTGGGTTAAACTGATCGTGCCCAAGCTCCTCCAGCAAACTCTGTTGTTCCACCCAAGATCCAGAGGCTCAGCTGTATTCAGAAATACAGGAATTTCAGTGGATCAAAGATTCAGCACGATCCGGGGCATCTTAAATTAAGAACTGATCATTTTAACAGGAAAGGAATCACTAAAAGATTTTGAATCGTAACAAGAGAACAATAAATAAGTACTTGCATGTGCTGTGCTGAGCACGTATTGAGGAATGGGTTGAAAATCACCTATCGCACAAAAAAAAAAAAATAGATGAAAGGATAGATAAAAAAGTATAAGCAAACTTCCCGAGCAGCCTGCAGTTCTAGGCTAAAATCTATCAATTGTTCAGAGAAAGATACAGACTGAAAGAGAGATATGTACGGGGAATCATGGAAATAAATCGGCAATGGTTCAACGTGAGACGAGTCACAGTTTTTGGGCTGAGTTGTTGACGAGGTCTGCCTGATCTTACCCCTAGAGGATTTTTTTTTGTCTAGAAATAGTAACAGGTTTTTTTTTTGTTTTTTTTTCTTAAATCAGCGCAATAGCTGGAAAGTCGAGCTACCTTTAAACGCTAAAAGCTGGCTATCCGCTAGAGCTGACTGCCAGTCGTGGGCTCGATTGTTGTTTGTTTTTTTCCCTTTCTCCTATTTGCATCGGAAACTTCAAGACGGCACGGTTTAGAGGTGATCTGAAAAACTTCCCTCTAAGGGCTCTTGCAGTCCTTTAGCCTTCATCCACCGGGGGCGATTTATTTATTTATATTAACTTCCATTTAGTGACAAAGATGATAAAAAGACTAATAAAAAAAGGTACTAAATGAGGGACTAACGTACGGACTCAAAGTCCCAGCGAGGTCAGCCCCCATACTAAAACATGTAAACAAAAACAATAATCAACAACAGTTCTTTCTATTAATTGAGCGACAATGTGGGCAGACTGTTTTCCACGTTTGAATTCTAGATGTGTCAAAATTAGCTATAATTTTGTTAAAGAAATAGTTAAATAGACGGTCTTTAAAGGTAGAAAGAGCTATAGTTTCACGAATATCTAACGGAATATTGTTCCGTAAGGAAACAATGCGATTAAAAAATGAATCACGAAATAAGAAAGTATTGGCATTCCTAGTACGGCCAGTGATCAAGTTGATGTATTCATTGACATTAATATTGTAGTACTTATGCATACCGGCACTCAGTAGAAGAAGCAGATGTCGCGAAGTTCGTGTCAATAACATAACGGTAACAGTTTTAACATTTTTAAGCGGGACTTATAGTCAGGTCTTTCCGATACCTTATAACTACAGTTGAAAATGAAAGGAGTTGCCCGACGTTGAACACCCTCTAGAATACGTAAATGATGGACAGTAGATTGAGGGGCCCAGACCTCGCTAGCATAGCCTAAGTGGGAACCCACAAAAGAAAGATATAGCGTTCTCCTGCTATCAGTCCCAATGTCAGGACAGCTCCGACGGAGAAAACCCAACTTCCGGTTGGCTTTGGCTACAAGGCATTCAATGTGAGAGTTCCATGTAAGTTTGTCTGTGACGATAACTCCGAGATCCTTTTGTGAGGAAACGACCGCAAGAGCATGTTCTCCGGCTTCCTAAGGACTACTCAACTAGAGACGGTATAGAGCTGTTTCGTTTTCTAGTTATTATCATACCTACACATTTATCTAGATTGTAAGCTAAACCCCATCTAAGGGACCAGTCATAAAGCTTGTTAATATCCTGTTGAAAATTAGTACAATCACAAGAGTCATTAACTGATCTGTAACATTTGGCATCATCAGCAAACAGAGCAATTCAGTGCTGTTCCATCATTGAGAGTCTTTGGTCGGTCGTTGATCACAAACAAGATAACGAACAAGAATGGGCCCATTAGATTCCCCTGAGGGACACCAGATGACACATTGACCCAACTGGAGAAGGAACCTTCTATGTGCACCCTGTGATATCTAGAATGAAGGTAGTCGGAGAACCAACTGTGCAATGGACCGGAGATGCCATATAATGATAACTTGTGCAGGAGAAGGTTGTGCGGCACAGAATCAATCGCCTTTCTGAAATCGAGATAAAGAACATCCGACTCTTGTCCAGCGTCGAGAGTTTTACCCAGATCGTCAAGTACCGTAAGTAAATGTGTGACACAGGATTTCCTTGGAACAAAAGCCATGCTGCTTTAGCGGCAGAGATAAATGAAGTTGGTTTTACTTGAACAAAAAACTCCAAATATTAATGTTGCTTTTGCATGCAGGCTCAGTTTTCAAAATGGCGGACGAAATTGTTAATCATAATCTTTACGAACCGCAGTTCAAACGCCCTAGAATAGTTTCAGAATCCGCGAAAACGAGCGATGACAGAGAGGCTGATAAATTAGGTTTAGATAAAAATGGAGAACAAGCGAACTGCCATCAAAGAAACGAGACCGATGGAAAACTTCGAAGTGAAATTATTATTGGTACAAAGCACGTGCTTAATGAAAACCCAGAAGAGACCGACGAAATGAGGGCAAGTACAGAGCAAGGAAAAGATTCATCGGTTGGAAAAGCATCTGAAGATGGCTCTGATATCTTGAGAGAAACTTGTGTTTCGGAGAAGGACGTTGGAATTTTGGAATTCGTGGCCAACTTACCCGGATTTCATGGAGTCCTGAAACAGAGATACACGGATTTCATCGTCAGAGAGAGGGACCTCCAGGGAAATATTGTGCGATTAACTGATACATCTTTACCTCGGAAAGAAAAGAGTCAAGAATTTGGGCTTGATATTTTAAGTGAAGAAGAGAAAATGAAAATTAAACAAGTTATTGATGATGAGGAGAAGAAAACCTCAGTGACTTTATCACCTGATGATGACAAGGACCACAGAAGATTGGTTCACAGAGCCATCAGAGAAAACTTTGCCTTTTTAGGTGAATGATTGCTGTAGCTGGGCAATATAAATCATTCTCAATGTGTCATTTCTTTCATAAGTATAAATAGGTGCAAGTGAATTGTTAGAAAGACTGGGCAAAACCTACTCAGGGATGGGGTGTGGGGGCCACTTTAAGGGGTGGGGGAGGGAAGATCTTACCTGCCATGGATCAGTATCCAACCAGGGGGAGCTGCAATAAACCTAATGACTGCATGGTACAGAAGCTGGAATATTTCCTCTTTTGGTGTTGGGACTTTGGCTGTAGGGAGAATTTGGCCAACCAAATGCAGCAAAATACTTAAATCATTCCCCAAGAATGGGAGAAAGGTGGCTTGGGGTGGAAGGTTTGGTGGAGTATTGTTAGTGAAGGCTAAAATGATTCATAGGTATCATTTCAGTTCTATGCAACTTTCTAAATCAAAAATCACTGCTTTTAATTCCTTTCAGATAGTGACACAGTTGATGTAGGGAACCAAAAGGCAGTCCGAGTATTTCATAACCGTGATTCAGATGGCAAGCAAAGGAGCAGCCGATGGCCAGCAGAACTTGGAGATTATTGCTGGTTTGTTCTCTACAAAGAAAACAAAGACACTATGGATGCAATTAATCTATTGAGCAAACTTCTTAGAATCAAAGCAGGGAGTTTTGGTTATGCTGGAACCAAGGACCGCAGGGCAGTAACTACCCAAAAAGTGTCTGTTTACAGAGTAAAGGTTGAACAATTACAGGAATTAAACAAAAGTCTTCGAAACATATGTCTTGGCAACTTCCAGTATTGTAAAGAGCCTCTTAAACTTGGCTCTTTATCAGGGAATCATTTTGTCATCACACTCAGGAATGTAGTTGGGGATCATGGAGAGATAGAAGAAAGTTTGAAATCACTGAAAATCAATGGTTTTATAAATTACTTTGGATTGCAAAGGTTTGGGACAACCTCAGTTCCCACACATAAAATAGGTATGTATCGACTGCAATTTATTTACAGTTTTAATTTGTTTTCCATGTTGGTAAAATGTACATAAGACCTGGGGGAGCCTTTTTCGGTGGTGTGGGTACATGTAGCCATTCTACTCCCACTCTACCTGTATGGAGCAATTTTTGACTTGAAGGGTATTCTATTGATTTAGGAAACTTTGTTCTGTGGTTTGAAATATCTTGCGCCATGCTCACAGTCCAAGAGGTGTAAACCACACCTAATCACTTCTTTGTCACAAGCATTTGTATTTCCTGTACCTAAAGCAGTGTGCCTGATTTTGATTTGAGTTATTGATGGCTTATGATTCAGGGCTCGACACTAACAGTAGCCCACTAGCCACAGACTAGTAGAAATTCAGTTTTGGTTAGTGGTTTTCAATTTCTACTAGCCAGTTTGGCTTAAGTAAACAGAGTGAAATTGTCGTAGCATCTAAAAACATCAAGGATGTCACTAGCCACTTGGCTAGTAAGTTTAAAAGTAGGTGTTGAGCCCTGATGATGATGCTAACCTTTGTTCTTAGGAACCGTTGGCCATCTGTATTGGTCATTTAACACTCAGTTGAAAACTGCTCCACAAAGGAAGGCAATAAGTCACTTTTCCAACATTCATGCAATCCGAATTTTTTACAGTTCATTAGTATACTTATTTTTGACTGTCTAATTGTTGCAGGCTGTGCGTTGCTTCTTAGTAACTGGTCTGAGGCCGTTGATCTGCTTCTTAATCCACGTTCTGGTGAAGCAGATGACCTCACAGCTGCTCGGCAACACTGGAAAGACACCCATGATGCTAAGGAGACTCTGAAAAGACTTCCTAAAAGGAAAGGAATTGAGAGTGACCTTTTACTTGGCCTTGTGAGGCATGGACCTTCAGGTTTGGTGAAAGCCCTCCAGTCCATCTCCAGGAACACCAGACTCATGTATGTCCATGCATATCAAAGCTACGTATGGAACTACATGGCATCCAAGCGCATTAAGGTACTTATATTTGTGCCAAACACCATATGTATCTTTCCCAATTCTTCATTCAAACTCAAATCACAGGGTTAAAACCCCATTACCAGCCTAGTTAGGGAAATATCATGCAGATATATGAAAAGCTTGAAACATTATTGAGAGTTCTCCTCTCCCTTCTTACACAAATATGAGCTGGATGTGATTCTCACGAACAGGATCCATTGTGAATCTCATTTTGATAAATCTGCACACCAGCAGCTCCCAACTTCCAACCTCTCTGTGGAAAACTGAACAGAAATGTCAAACCCTTCGTCGATTTCTCTACTAAGTCAAATTTGTAGCTGGTTTTCTTTCTTGTTCGAGGGGGTTTTCTCCTGGCGGCCTTAACCCCTTCATTTCCGTGCATTGTATAGCGAGGTTTGAGAGCAATGCGTGATATGCGGGCCAAAAATTTTTTTTTTTATTTTTTATTTTTTATTTATTTATTCATTTTTTATAGTACGTGACCAGATGTTTCTTGGTTTGATTGCACTTTTAGGAGCACGGAATGCAGCCAATCGTAGGTGACCTGGTTGTGGCTTCAAAATCAGCAGCACCATGTACCACAGACACAGGTGAATGTGAATGCTACCGTGAACCACTCATGCACATTTGATTTTTTCTGTAACCAGTTTCCTGAGCATGAAGCTTACTTCCTCACCAACGTGCTCGTCATGTAGGTGTTACTCAGTAGTGATTTAAACAACTATAAAAATCCCAAACTTTCAATCAACTTTGGCGTAGGACAAATGGCTGTAATCATACGCGTTTGCTCATACGCGTGTTTCACGCATGTTCATACGCTCAAGTTCGTTGTGTATATCTACGCACCTGCACGCATACGTACATGAATACTCGTTCGTAATTAGGTACGGACGTGCGTCGATGTGTCGACCTGTGAACGTGCGTTGATGCTTCATTGCGTAGTTGCGTCAGTGCGTAGTTGCGTCAGTGCGTTGTTGTGTCAGGGCAACGGTGCTCAGGTGCGCAGGTATGGTGGTGTGGACATTAGGAGGTAGCTTGGTCAGCCTGACTTTTTTCCTTATTATTCGACGCACTTCAGGGCCGCAAGACAAGGTTGAATTTATTTCCGAGCCAAGCAGAACATCGGTTACCGTTGTTACCGAGGAGCTGATCAAAACAGGGCAGTTCACAATCCATGACGTTGTTCTTCCACTTCCTGGATACGACGTTGCATACCCTAACAACAGCTTGAAAGCTGAGTACAGAAAAATAATGGCCAACGACGGACTGGACATCGAGAACATGAGGCATAAAGTAAAGGACTACTCCCTGTCGGGCGCTTATCGGTGAGTCTCGTTCAAAATAATTTTTTTATGCTCTGCGGTCCAGTTACCTTATCTCTCGTTTAAAGGTTTTCGGTCGATCGTGCCTGGATTTCAAAGTCTGCTATGGGCTCTTGCTACTCCCTTAAAGGACTGTTGCTCGTGGTAACAACTGTCGAAGCCGAGTTATTTCTAGGATCATCAGTGTCATGAATAGCACTTACAACGTTTAAGTGGAAAACAACTTGTAACGCTGATGTTGTCTTCCGTTTAGATTGTTAAAACGTCAGTGTTTGTCACGCAAAGCTTGAAATTAACGCGATTGAGGGGTTGTCTAATTTTTTAATTATAATTATAACTGAAATGATAGTCATGATATTTATAATGGTCTAATAAGGTTTTATAATTTAATAGTAATGATCAGAAAGAAGTTATTATTGCCATATTCTTCATTATGGAGTTATTGTGAGTAAAGGGTGTGCATTGTCCATATTCAGTGTTTTTCATTGTGTTTTCCATCCAAAGAAATTATTGCCTTGTTGTCTTCCCTCCAGTCTTTTGCTTTTGTTTTTTGGTATAACTGGCTTGTTTTCACGAAAGTCGACACGAGTTCAGTGCGATGATAGTTCCTTGCAGTGATGATAGTTCCTTGCCTCTTAAACTTGGCTCTTTATCAGGGAATCATTTTGTCATCACACTCAGGAATTTAGTTGGGGATCATGGAGAGATAAAAGAAAGTTTGAAATCACTGAAAATCAATGGTTTTATAAATTACTTTGGATTGCAAAGGCTTGGGACAACCTCAGTTCCCACACTTACGTTGACCTATTCCATTTTCAATTATTTGTAACATACAGGAAATTACTCGTCAAGCCGAGCCTCACGAGCTGGCGCTGGTTGCGTTACAATGACGTCAAACAACCGTTAGTTGTAACCGACAAGGAAGCTATGTCTGGTGCCCAGGAGCCCGAGTCAGTTCCAGACGGAAAGTACTGGGCGCTACAATTGGAATTTACGTTACCCACCTCAGCGTATGCTACGATGGCCTTACGTGAGGTTCTGAGGAGTGATACGTCATCTGCTTATCAATCCACTCTCAACCAGGAATGAAACGTGGATGCACAGACTTAGAAAGCTTTAAACTTCAAAGACACAAAAGGGCCGACGTGTGTTTTTATGAACTTTTACTAACCGTCACTTGCAAGAATTGATTGCTTGTAACCCTGGTTGTTAAATCTGAAAATGTGATTCGCTTTTGTAACCTTTCCATTTGTCTGCCTGACCTATCATAACTATTGAAGCAAGAAAAGACTCATTGATCCCTTCTGAAAGTGATGAAGTGAAATCTCTTCTGAAACAGCGCCTTGTGGAAGGAAAAGACGATTTAGATTTTCCCTCGTGGACTGCGAAACAACAGTTTAAGGTAAATCAACTTTCAAATGGGCGTTTTTTTGGCCATCTACTTTTTTCAGGCGAATAAATTCCGCTTTCCTTGAGGCGGGAATAAGATGAAATGGATCTTACAAATTCGGTTGTATGGCGTTTGTCGCGTATGTCATGTACAAGTATGTCGTGCCAATAGGTAATGATATAAGTGTAACAAAATAAGTAAGCAAGAAAACTATTTTTTTTTTGTTATAGTTTCTCAACGATTTACAACCGGTGACACGTTTAGTACTCTCACGAACTCGATCAATCATGTTCTGCTACAACGTATTTACACTGTACATTGCTTCACTGTTGTGGCAGCAAAACTTTAGGTAATCTTGATCAACTGACCTTCGTCAAGTTGTTAAATCTGAATACAATTTTGTACTTTTGCTTAGATAATACTTTAGTACCGATAACAATTGCTTCTTATGCGAATGTCTGACAGTATATACTTCATCTCTCTTTTTGTTACGATTACGCAAGCAGTTTTCGAACGTCTGGCTCGTTGAAAGTTTGTAAATAATTTGCCCATTTCTGGATTGGCTGTTGGTCATTTGTTGCAGTTTTAGCGTTGCAACGGACGGAACGTGAAAATCCACTTATAATAGAAGGCAACTACCGAACATGGCTTGAATTATCATTATTTCCGTTTTACTACATAGTGCATACTGCGCATGTCAGTTCCCAGTCCTGCAGGTAATTCGGGCAAGGCAACACTCCGCACTGTCCCTGTACTGATGTTAGTAAAGCTTTCCCGGCATCCCCTTTGTTGTGGCGCACCTTTACTCCGGTAGCATCAGCGTCCACACAAATGTACTCAGGTCTCGTGTTGTTGGTCGTGTCCGTCATAAGATACCCGTGGTACTCGCGGGTCCAAAGTCCGGTCGGGCAGACATTGGTTCCAGGAATCATCATTGAGGATCCTCTTTGCTGTACACGACACACAGCACATGGGACACTATGGTAACTAATATTAGGTCCCCTTCCACGTCTCCTCATAAAAAGGTCCTGTACGTCACCATACTTCACACCATAGAGGGACGCTCTTGAGTTGGACCCCGGTGAAGGGGGCTTAAGGTAAAGGGGGTCGAGAGGCAAGCACAGATAGTCGGCCCCTCCGCCCTCTCCTGTTGGGCGCCATCCAGCTACTCGGCCTGAGACAAAATCAGCAATCAGAAAGGTTCGGTGAGAAGCCTTATTCACAATAAAATGATAGCAGATAACTTATAAAGTTATACAGGAGTAGATGAGTTCCGGGAATCTTATGGCTTCTGGAAAACTGCAAAGTAGTTAAAAGGCATGGAAATGGCATTTAAAGGATGAATCCAAATATAAAAAACTAAGCCTTATTCAAGATGTAACAAGTGTTCGTTTTCTGAGTAAATCTTCCATTTTTTTAAAGGAGAATTTCTAGTCATAGCCTTCAGTAAGGAGAGCTAACTGACCGTTTTTGGGGTATTTGCAAATTCAAAGAGCAAATTAATAGCTTTACTCAGTGTTACGACGAAATAGCCTCGTATAGGGGAGCTGCAATAAAGTGTATTGTATTGTATGTATTGTATTGCATTGCATTGCATTGCATTGCATTGCATTACATTGCATTGTATCGCCCAAACTGCTTTGTATTTTGGTATTTCTTCACTGCTCTTTGTATTTAGGCTGTACTAAGCTTATCAACGGAATCACAACTGTACGAGGCTGTAAAATTTTGTTATTGCTATGATGATTATTTCTGGCAATGCTTCCTTGAAAGTTAAAACATACCCTCATAAACTAGTTCTGCGCCTGTGCGAGATGGGCATACACTACGTCCCCATCGAATAAACACCGAACTTCCTGAGGCCCTATGGGAACACGTCACTGGGTCGCCTGGAGGGCCCCGAGCACCTTGCTTTCCTCTGTGTCCTTTTTGGCCTTGGTCTCCTTTTGGTCCTGTAGCACCATCTCTGCCTTAAACAAAACAAACACAGCTGTAGTACCTACTGGACATCCCTTGTGTGTGAAGGCGATCTTCTTGGTGTTCCCTTCTAGTATTTTTAAGTGTTTAATTCCGACATTTCTAATTATTCTCGCGTTGTTCCAGACTATTTTCTGTGAGAAATACTGAAGGATTTTGTAAAATATGAGAGCAAAACAAAGGCAACAACAAACCGAAGAGGTTCGAGAATGGCCGATGATGAGGAAGATTAAATGGTGTCTTTTATGACGAGGCTTTCTTTTCTAAGTTGCCCATGCATTGGCGTAACTCGTGCGAGATTTGGCAGGAAATTGCCATTTCCGACCAGATTTTTGGACTCCTCTTCGGTGGCTATGATGTTTCAACGGTCTGAGTCCTCAAACAATAAGGCGAAACGTGCCATCTTCTTATCTTTTCTAGTTAATTAGATCAAGTAACGTACTAATATTTTAATTAGTCGGTTGCTTCTTGTTGGTGTTATGTGGATTTACCGCGCACATGTTTGCATCTTGTTGGTGTTATGTGGATTTACCACGCACATGTTTGCATCTTAACGATGCTTTCCGTAATCTATTTAAGCCAGTCATCAGATAACAACCACGCCATGTTATTTATCAGATCGGGGCCTTCCCTTACGTTACCCTGCACGCTAAGCTGATTTTCGATATTTTGGAGGCTGTAGACTGACTAATCCGAATTGCGTCCCCGACATAAAAAAGATCTGTTTATGAATCAAGCTCGCTCAGAATTGATGGAAATCAATATGAGAGTTGTTGCAGTTGCCCTCAATAAGAAGATAAAACAGGAAATAGTAAATTGATATGTTTGTGGTTTAAGTTTTGTCCCAAATTCTGAAAGAAATCAAAGGTAGGGAAAAAGGAGGCCTTCCAACCGTGGATGCAAACGAAGCCAACTTACCCGGCAATCCTTGCCTCCCTGGGATTCCATTTTTCCCCGGTACGCCATTGCGTCCATCGGTGCCATCTCTTCCTACACTAATGAACACGAACACTGCGTCACAAGAAATTCGTTTTAACGTCTACAAGTGTGTTTCAACGATTTTTTGCTCAGAACAGAGAATTCTCTAGTTTTGAGTTTCAGGCCAGCCCTCCTTTTCCTTTACGATTTGTTGCGGGGTTATTCGCTCTTCGCTCCTTTGCTACGTAATTACTGCTGATTTTTCTCTCGTTTATTTACCTTTTTTGTATGGTTTGATTGGTTCACTTGCCGTTGTATAATTATGCTCTTAAGTGATAAGACAATTTTGACAAGCCTGTTCTAATGGGACTGTCATCAGACTTACAACCTATTCATGCCTTAACATACAGTTATAAAAGGAACATTCTGACTTAATATGTGATGAAAAAAATGGGTCAAACAAAAGTAAGACGACAGAATCAGCCGGCTACTCACCGTCTCTTCCTGTCGTTCCATCCTTCCCATCACGCCCTGGAATCCCATCTTTTCCCGGAATTCCATGTGTACCTTGAGGTCCCTGAGCACAAAAGGTTCTACCTTCATGCGCACTGAAGTTGTTTGAAGCTGCAAAGCTGAAAATTAGATCAAGAAGACGAATCAACCGGTTATGAATTAAATCGTTCACAGTTTCTTCGGTAAATTGCACAACTTTCAGTAAAAAAACAACATTGGCTGACAGCTCTTACGATGGCGTATTTTTTAAATATTTACCGGCCATTTAAAATATCTAATGCACAGCTCTCAAAGCAATGATTTTTTCCTGCATATCACTTTTGTTATCATGTGATATTTTGTATGATTTATCTTTTGTGTCAGCAGTGCATTGGCTCATCGCCGAAAACTTTAAGCTTTCTGCAAAATTTCATATTGGCTGGCCCCGCAGTCAATGTGTCAAATTTGAGTCCAAGGTTGCAAGTCAAGTATGCTGCTGTTATTTTGGACAGTGGTGATACAGAGAGTCCGAGGTGAAAATAGTTGGCTCTTTGTGTGGCCAACTGAATCATCAAAGAAAGGCGAATGGATTATTATGATACATTTTAATCAGCAATAATGTCTGTCAGTATGTATCAAAACAATCTTAAGATAAATCACGAAAGTATTGAAATTACAAAGGAATGGTTACAAATCAGCTAGCTGTCAATTAATTTGTATTGGAAAATTACTCGAAGCGTCCGGCTAACAATCCAATAAACTTAATCGAACTATTTCAGAAACATCATCGCAAATATTTGTATGGGAAGTAGTTTCCGTTGTTTCCCTGATGATTATAATGCAGGAAACTTCATGTTTCAATGTGCGACCCTGGATAAACCTACGTCACAGGAGCGTTTTCGTGTACGAACACACTTTGATTAGTGCCTTTAATTATTTTTCTTTGTTTGACAAAAATGCAGTCCCGTTGGTTTGTTTTTGGAGATTATGGCTGTGCCTTAACTAATTACCCTTTCGATGTTTAGCCGGAAAATTCGGGAACGTTGGCGAAGGCAGTTAGTTGTCTTAAACTACAAGCTCATTAATCCATCTTGAGGGGTTTGAGTCTTTTTACTTTCAGGGTTCAATTGGGTTTTAGAAAAGTGGCCTAGTGTGAATTTTGGCTCCGTTTGGATTAACACGTGGATCTTTTAGTATTCTGTGGTCTAACATGAAGACAATGTCCTAGGTGGTGGTCCTTATTTAAACGCCCGTCTCTCGTTATTGCCTTGTTGTAAGAGTCGGCATTGAGCGCGTATTTCGATTTTAATCCCCTGGGGAATTTAAGAGCTAATATCCGTCTTCGATTAATGCAATTAAATGTTCTGTGATATTGATATATCGATAAAGACTATTTTTTCATTTGGACCCGCTATTATGTATAAAAATATTATAGTCAAGCGGTCTTAAAATGGACACGCACATAAAATTGATACAAGAACGCTTACTTAGCGGTTGTGTATCTTTGAGAGAGTCTTTTGTATATATCATAACAAGTTCAGTTATTATAACTCCGTCAGTTGTACAATTGATTGGCACTTAAGCACTTTTAGAAGTCGTCCGGCTTGTATTTATCCATTTGGCTTTTCATGCTCATTCTTGCTTATTGTAAGCGATGGCTAGGCGAAACACGCTGATGAGTTGAGCCTGTTGGAAGATTACAACTTTAATGACTATAACATCTTCTACCTACCGATTTTCCAAACTCTCCAGTCGCTGCAAAAGATTGTTCATCCCTGTTTGGTCCGCATGTCGCTTTGCACGAGAGGGAACATTCCTTTGCCCCATGTCATTGGTCCTTATCTGTAGCTTTCTGTAGTCTTTGCCGTTCATGTAATCCTCAAGCTTGTCCAGCCTTTCTATGATGTTCGTTAAACGATTGCTTAGCTGTGCCTGAAGGGCATATTGGGCCCAAAAGTAGCCTAGGATCACCACAATCTGAATTAACTGCCAGAGTGACAGCGAAAGATAACGAGCAACAATCCACTTCAAAATTCCACGCGCCGTCATCTTCACCTTGTTTTCGGCTAACACGTTACTTCAATAAACCGACGCTGTTGAAAGGAAGGAGATAACTCGTTAAAGAAGAGTAAAAACAAGGCGACCATGTTTAAGTTTTGTCTCCAGATCCTTTGTTTTAACTGTTTACTTCTTTGTGGGCGAGATATGGATTCCACATAAACGTCACGTCGATAAACTCGAAAGACCAAGAATTTACATTCATGCAGTCATGCAAATGACACGACAACCGAAGCGGAACCAGGGTCCATGTTGAAATTTCAATCACAAAACAACAGTCAATAGTCACAGCGTAGCGGTATTAGAATACAAATACGCCCCGCTATTGTTAAAGCTCTTTCAGGCCTAAAACAGCACTTCGTACAAGGTTTTATCTTTTGTTTGGTAATATAAATCGCACCTGGTGTAATAGCGTAGGCGAACATTCTTAAATGATCTGCCCAACGTGTACTGTCGCATTGCTAGCAAATTTAAAAATATTAACATTTAAAGCCTCTTACCCTTCCTATTAATCTTGATTGACTCATCAAAACTGTTTAGCCTTTTAATAGCACGTAAACCAGAAATTTCAACAGGTAACTTTTTATCCCTTGCTATGAAGGTATTTTTGCTCACCGTCTGTTTTGGCCTTTTTCGTTGCGATAAAATTACCACTTTAAAACCCGTGCGAGCGCTTAAGTCCCATATGCATCACATGTCCAAAGTGATGTGAATTCTTTGGGTCAACGGACGTGGCAGTTCTGACGTACAGAGACTGGCAACTCAAGATTGTAGTCGTTCTTTCCTTCGATTCCTTGAGTTTCTCCGCGCCGAATGACAGAAAGAATTGAGAGGACTCTAATGGCAATAAAAATGTTTTGGCCCTTACCGATCAAGTTCAAATTTTCTGTCTGTTCTCCTCCTGATAAGAGGTCTGCAATAATTTGTCTCAAGTGAGAACATCAGGTTATACTCATCTTGAAATCATGTCCACCCTTTTAAGTGGATCCAAAAATGTTAACACGATGACGTATTAATTAAAACTACTTTAGTCTATCATTGTTTCCAATGGAATTATTTTTTAGATCGATTACCTACTAGGTATAAACAATTTTTCCTCTTCTTTCGGTTTGTTTATTCAAATTAGCGAGGCTTATCGACAGTCTTGCTAATTCACTAATCTTTTAATAGCTTCCAGTATCCTAGGTTCTCCCTCAGTCAGTTTCTATATTTATCCAAGGTCATTAGATGTTACAAGTTTGACATGTGCGTGACTTTGATAAGAGACCAAAGATTTTTTTAAAGGTGAGATAGAACCATCTTAACTTGGCCTCGGGTCAAGACCGGGCCCAGAGCAGGAGGGACTTTTCTTTGACTGTTGTATCTCAATTTCAATAGCCATTTACTAAACCTGAAATCTCATTAAGATCTTCGCTAATCATGTGAACAATTTTTCTGCTTAATGAAACTATTTATAGGTTTTCATTTTTTTCCTGATATTTTGATTAGGAAAAGGAATTGTGCAGCGACAGATGAATCTCGTCTGGCTGATCTTAGGTGAACTTCTGCTGACATCCAATAGCGCAGTGGCGAAGGTGTTGTGAGATAAAATGTGGCCTGGGTTCGAATTGGAAACGGCATCACGTAATATGTGACCCGGATTTAAAGTTCAGTTTGGAAAACATTTTTAGTGATGATTCTCGAAGAGAGCAGAATCGTTGCTTTAAGACACTCATAGGTCCTGCTAATAGAATATAAGTTGTGTTAGTAATCTCTCAGTCCTGCTTATGATTTATTTCCGTATCAATTGATTGATCAGTTGATGTTTGGCTATGATTTCTCAATGAGAATAGACTGTCATTGCCTTAAGACACTCATAGGTCCTGCTAAAGAGTTATTAACTGTTGATAATCTCTCGGTCCAGCTTTTGAATTAGTTCCGTATCAATCAACTGATTGATCTGTTGATTTTTGGCAATATTTTCTCGACGAGAGCAGAATCATTGCTTTAAGACAGCCATAGGTTCTTCTAACAGATTATAAACTGTGTATAATCTATCGTTCCCGCTTATGAATTATTCCCGTGTCAATTGATTGATCAGTTGATTTTCGGATATAATTTCTCGAAGAGAACAGAATCATTTTAAAACGCTGATAGGTCCTGTTAAGAGATTACAAACAGTTAAAAATCTCTTTGTCCTACTTATGAATTTTTTTCCGTATCAATTGATTGATCAGTTGATTGAGAAGAAAAAAGAAAGAAGAACTTGAAGTCTTAAGCACTCTAAATAACAAACGTGTCTAGTTACAAGATAAGGTTGAGATCGTACGTCAGCATTATCACGCGCCTCTGGCAACCCCTTCAGTCCATGTAACGATCTCACCTTCCCGCCCATCTTACCTTCCCGCCCATCCCACCCCAGGGGAGTACATCCTGCACACAGTAATCTCGTGTGTGGGAAATTAACGTCTCCTACCCCTACCCCTGCAGGAGACGGGGCCTTCGGTTTATTCGTCCTTATCCGAGAAGACTAGAATATCCATCCATTTCTTGATATTATAGAAAGGTAGTAAATTCTCCTCAGTTATTTTAAGACCATGAGTATAGGTCCGACCGGGGCTCGAACCCTAGACCTCCCCGCACAACACAATCCGGGCTCTAACCAACTGAGCTAACCAGGAGGACTGGTTGGCGATAATTTCTCGAAGAGAGTTGAGAATCATTGCTTTAAGACACTCATGGGTCCAGCCGAGTAATTATAAACTGTGACTGTGTATAATCTCTTGGTTCTGCTTACGAATCGGTTGATTTTGGGGAATAATTTCTCGAAGAGAGCAGAATCATTACTTTTAGACAGGTCCTGCGAAGAGATTATAAACAGTTTATAATCTCTCGGACCTGCGTATGAATTATTTCCGTATCAGTTGGTTGGTCAACGGTCATTTTTTGTTTACACCTATTTCCGCGACAAAATGTGAACGAACGTATTCGTTATGGACATTTTTATTCATCGTCTGACTGATCATAGCTTCATTTGAGGCTTGTGCTACCGAAAATAAAAGCTTCTCTAGAAGCAAAGATTAGACCTGGATGCTGGATAAAACTTTTTACTCATGAGCTCTTAAGGCGTAATTTCACTTGTCCAGACTGAATTGATGATTCTGTTAAGAGAAAAATAATTGTAAAATCCTTGAACCTTTATTTTTAAAGGCTAACTAGTTGATAACTCAGATGTTGAACCCTTATCACTCGGGCTTCCGAAGGAAAGCCCGAGTCTTAAAATGCAAGCCGTTATCGGGTCGTCAAAAGGGGGTCATGATCTCAGGCGTTCCTTGCTTAAACCGAAGAAACTGGGGATGAGAGTGCGACACCTTGTGTTATCCTGTGCTCGATCTTCGTAAACAACATAATTTACAGAATACTGTGTTTTGTGAAGACCGCCTTGCAAAGATTACTGTCTTATACGCTCATCCCACATCCCACATGCAAACGCACACGCCATTCGCGGTAGGCCCGCGCTAAATGATGTCGATTGTTTTCGGAAGGGGCCGGTCCACGAACTTCATAGCTTGAAAACTAACCAAATGTGCAAAGTTCATACTGGTTCTCACAAGATAACGAATGAGCTATTTGTGAGTTAAAATTACGAAAATACTTGCAAAACTGTGACGGCCGATTTAACAACAAACTATGATGCTGAGACGAACACCTCGTCACTTGCTGAAGAAATCAAGAATATTCGTGAACTCAACTTCGAAGGTGGCGCTAACAACAGTCAATTGGAGAACTGAAGATGCTAACAAAAGAAACTTGAATAGTAAGGTTAAACATATAAGCTTAGCTCTTCCGTTAAATATCCTGCTTCTGTTATTGGTTATTATAGGGTTCGATACCTGTAAAGTAGGATTTGGTATTTCTTACATAATCACTATTATTATTGAACAAGCGATCGTGAATGTTGGTTTGCTATTCGCATGGAGTTGTATGTACTTAGTAGAAGACATGATGGATATTGTGATCTACTAGAAAAAGTAGTCAAAATGACTAATGTACATGAACATAATGATGTTTCAGTGTCAATAAAACTACAACAATTCAGATCTCCGTATGTAAATTATGTATGTTATAATTGTGCTCGTGTTTTGTGTTAATGCCACGGCCATAAACGAAGTCCGAGTGAACGCGCCTCGAGCGTCTAGTTTTGATCAAATGCTTGCTCAAGGTTATGAATTTTATATTTGTTAAGTTTTTCAATGGTCAAATGGTTATGTTTTGAATAAAGGCTGAAAGTTTCTAAAGAAACTGTGGTGCTGCGTCGGCGGGGGTAGCAAGGTAATTTGGTGTTATCAACTAAGTTGAAATTGTAAATTGGCCACCGTAACGAATAAAAAAGCTGACGTTTCGAGCGTTAGCTCTTATGTTACGGTCAACTTCTGCGGACCAAAAGCATGCTTTTCAGGAATTTAGACCTTTCGCATCCGTATGCAGCCTACAGGAATGGCCCTCATGTAGCATTTTGATCGATAATAATGCAGCGATTACACCATTTCCTTGCCATTTATGCTGATTCCAAAATTTGTATTTGTCAATTAGTGGAAATTCCTCTTTAGGTATGTGACATTTATCGTACAAAATTCACAGAGAGATGTATGTATTTTGTTTGCAAAAGCGGCACAACTCGTATGTCCTCTAGCTTTAATATTGTGATCGTCAGACGCGCGACTCACCTTGTATCATTCAAATGAATTCTTCTTCCGATGGATGTCTGTTGCTGAGAAATAATTATCTTTGATATCGCACCATGCAGGCTTGTGAATGAAGCCTTTTTTTTTCACAGTCGGGTTATTGTTGCTAAAACGTTTGAGACGTTGTTTGAAACCAATCTTCTTCTTAAGGGGAACGCATATTTCTACTCAACTTGAGGTTTTAGGAATTTAAGAATTTGCCTATCTTGAAACATTTCTTCCTTTAATGCTGAATCAAAGTTTGAGCCCCATATCAAAATTCCTAGATTTGCCCCTGGTCTACCCATACCAAGGCAGGCTGCAGAGGATATCAAAACCGTCTAAGATTGGCTTCAACGGCCTCAAAAAGATAGGCACGTCTATAAGTTCTCACCTCTTTTCAAGATTCGCTGGACTGATGGTCACCAACAACAGTAGGAATAAAAATAAGACATGCACAAAAGTATCTTCGCTCATGTTCTTTTCATCACCTTTTACGAGAAAACGAAACAATTTGACACGTTTTAGACATGGAATCTGAAATATGGATCCTTCGAATTTTTTGTCTTTCCCTTTCTTCAGCTTTCGCTTCCGTGTACTGCATTCATCGCATTAATATTATCGCTGTACGCCATATGCTTCTCGCGGAACAAATTAGTCGGACAAGATTCAGTATTGGATCACGTTTAAAAGACATGGTCTTACTAAATGTTGAAAGAAAAACTTAACTGGTTGTAAATCAGGTTTCAACCTCTTTCATCTGAGAACCTTATGTTCCCTGAGGCCTTCAAACTCTCCTCATGACTTGCTCTTGTCGATGAATATGTTAAGTTGTTGGGATCTCGAGCCTCATCTCTCTGCACCAGCCCTCTCACTGAATTATCAAAGAACATGTTATGTAAAAAGAAGAAATGCCCTTCTTGTGGTGTACACCCTTGAGGACTACCCACCCCTCCCTAAAAACTTTAAAGTCGTAGAGTCTCTGTGGAAGTTTGCATGTCGCTATCTACAAAACTATTTTAAGGTTCGACAGCTGGTATATTCGAGTACTTATCGTAAGTGTATTATAGTTGATCACAGCTGTTGGGGCAAAACGGTGACCACTTGACCTCTTCAACATTGGAGAGAATAGACACGCAGGTGGGTTTGTAGCGGAGATTGCTGCTTGCAATTATCTCTGTTAAATCCAGTTGATCCTGAATACTTGTACTATGTTCTACAGATTTGGCTGATTTTTTCTTTTGATTTAGGTTGCAAAAACTTGCATTCGTGAGGCAATCACTGCTTGCATTCGCAAAGGATCAGAGGCCGGCATATTTAATATTCCGGTCAAGGAGAAAAAAAAAAGAAAAGCCAAGAAGCCTAGAAGGTGTAAACAAACTGACATTTCTCTTTCAATTCTTGATAGTTTGAAACAACTGTAATGGGATTATTCAACCAAAGACTAAAAATTTCTCGGTAATTAATTAACGTATTTGGGCCAGACACCCTTAAATAACACTCTAAACAAACCGCCAAACTATTACTGTCAACAAGTCAAACACAGAATGCCATGTGTCACCAATAGAGTATGAATGATTAATGAAATAGATTTCCCTCCTTGATCAGGTGGAACAGCCAAAGAATTGGAACGTACATTCTTCAGATTTCTTTCTCATACGTTTACTCGTAGCCTTACTTGCATCTCGCTTAGGAAACACTGGCTTTTTTTTGGTCTTCAAGTTGGAGACCTCAAACATGCCTTCATGATTTCATCAGATGAAAACGCAAACAAACTCGGATTCGCTCCTTAAATCCCTCATTGTAGTGTAGTTTACTATACGTATGATCTCTTACGTAAGTGCTGGTGGGAATACAACACGTTTCGGTAATGGACAGGGAAGCATACCTCAAAAGGTTTAAACTTTAGAGTTGGCTTGGAAACTCTGAATAAGAATTGCCAGAAAAAGCGAACAAACAAACAAAATAAACAACAAGTGTAAGTTAACAAATAAATTACAAGGCATGTGATATGAGCATGACAGTAAGGAAATGTGAAAAGTTGTTCTCCATTTCTTTTCAAAGAGTAATTTTCTTGTTCTTCTCAATGAACAAGGTTCAGTTTTGGATCGGATCGATGGATCACCAGATGGATCAGATTTCCTCTTCTAGGCGTCCTATCTGTCCGCTACAAATATGCAATATTTCTGTAGTATATAATTGCAACTAAGTTTTAAAAGTGAAAAAAAAAAAAAATGATTATAAACTTTCAACAGACTTTAAAAAATACCTCGTTCATCGGGGAACGTTGTATCTTCTGATGCCTTCTTGCTCTTCTGCAACGCGGTTTCTTTAGAGGAACACATTCAGTGGAGTAGCCTAATCCCTTAATCTACTTAAAGAACAGATTCCACGTTACCGTGGGTCTGATCAGCAATAAATCACAGATGACATGAGAACATGGTACGAGCAAAAAATTTGCATTCAAGGCGCATTCGAGTGTCATTGATTTTTTTTTTCTCTTTTTTATTTTTTTGATACCACATTTTGACGTCTTCTGTAATCTATTATTGAAAACTCGCACGACAAAGAGGATTCTATTTCTTTATTGAGACAAAGAAGAAAAATGTGAGAAACGTCATCTCTGCCCCTGTCGAGAAAATCCAGCGTATACCCTTATTT